GGATGAGGATGAGGATGATGAGGATGAGATGATGAGGATGAGATGATGATCATCATCATGACTGGATGAGGATGAGATGAGTAGGAGGATGAGGATGAGGAGGAGGAGGAGGAGGAAGAAGATGAGGAGTTGGAGGAGGAGGAAGAGGAGGAGGAGGAGGAGGAGGAGGAGGGAGGAGGAGGAGGAGAAGCGGAAGCGGAAGGAGGAGGAGGATGAGGAGGTGGAGGAGGAGGAGGGAGAGGAGGAGGAGGGGAGGAGGAGGGAAAAAGGAGGGAAACGGAGGGAAGAGGGAGGGAAGGGGGAGGAAGTGAGGGAGGGAGTGAGGGAGGGAGGGAGGGGGTGAGGAGGAGAGTGAGGAGGAGGAGGAGGAGGAGGAGGAGGAGGAGGAGGAGGGAGGAGGAGGGCGGAGGAGAGGAGGAGGAGGAGGAGGAGGAGGGAGGACGACTTGGAGGAAGGGGGACGCGGATGGAAAGGGCAGGGCTGGCCAGGGACGCTCGTCGGAGGGACGATGGCGGGTCGGCTGTTGGCCGCCCGTAGGCCAGGGGCCGTCTCGCTGGCGGGTCGCCGCAGAGCTCTCCGAGGAACGCACCTCTTTTCCCAGCACCTGGCGCAGAGGGCTGCAGGAGGCGCCGGGCAGACGGCGCTCCCTCCTCCACAGCCACTCGCTCCTTCGTCGTCGTCGTCCTCCTCCTCCTCCTGCTGCTCCTCCTCCTCCTCCTCCTCCTCCTCCTCCTCCTCTCCCCTCCCTCCCTCCCTCCCTCCCTCCCTCACAGAAAAAACTGGAGCGGCCAGCTTTTAATTGTATTTTCGGCTTTCAGGGGCCCTCAGCGAGCCCCAGTACCGTCAACAGAACGACTCTGGATCAGAAACGGGCCGTCCAGGGGTTCACGCATCGAAAAAGTTGGGGCGCTGGACGTTTGAGTTCACTCCTTCCTCCCCCTTCGCCCTCCCCTCCTCCTCCCCCTGACGCCGCCCCCGTTCTCCTTCCCCCGCTCAACTCCTCTCGCCGCCCCGGCTTCTCCGAGGAGGAGGGGATGGGGCGGGGCCTACGAGTGCAGGACCTTCCGGATCGCGCTGCCGCCGACGATCCTTGCCATCCATCTGCGGCGTCGCCAGCCTGTCTAAAGCGCTCTGCGACTTGTAGGAGGAGGAAGAGGAAGAGGAGGAGGAGGAGGAGGAGGAGGAGGAGGAGGAGGAAGAGGAGGAGGAGGAGGAGGAGGAGGAGGAGGAGGAGAGGAGTAGGAGGAGGAGGAGGAGGAGGAGGAGGAGGAGGAGGAGGAGGAGGAGGAAAGGAGGAGGAGGAGGAGGAGGAGGAGGAGGAGGAGGAGGAGGAGGCAGAGGAGGAGGATGTGGGAGAAGGAGGATGGAGACTTATTTTTGTCACATCCTATGGCGGGCCGGTACCTGCACGATTCGCGCCAGCGCCGTTTGGGGATGCTAATCTTAAGTCGGGCGTGTCCTTCTACAGGAGGAAAGTATTCAAAGAAGTCAACAGTATGGGGACGACTTGTCGAGTATTTCTCGACGTTTTTTGTCTTTAGTTTTATTTTTCGTCCAAAATCTGCCTGTCGGGGGACATACCCGACCTAAGCTAGCGAATGGCTCCAGCCGGCGCCAGCGCGAATCGTGACGTTTCACGGGGGAAGAGGGGGCTGGCGGGGCCGGTAACGGGAGCTACGTATCATGACTGATAAAGACATGGCTCTTGCTGCAAGCCAGTCCATGGAGGGCTGTGCACACGTGGCAGCTCAAGCTCGACAGTGCAGTTGTCGATGGACTTGAGCGCATGCCGAAAGGCATATCTTGAAGATGGCGCGGCTCCCTTCCAGAACCGCCTCAAAACCTGTCGTGTCCGGAACACAGTGGACCGCCTTTTTGATCGACAAAGCACTTAGGCGTCGCTCGCACACGTCCTACAGTTTGTTCGGGCGAAGGGAACTATGCACATGCACCGATCCTGGCAAGGCCCATCTTTGACCCAGGATCGGTGCATATGCCTTCCTGGCCAAGGTAGGAGGGAGTATGCACCGATCTTGGGCTCAGGATCGGCGTGGCCAGAATCGGTGCATGTGCATAGTTCTTTTTCCTCTATTTGTTTCTTCTGCAAATCGCGTCGAGAGTTTACCTGCTGGACGACCCCTCGGGCCTGCGGGCTGCGAGCCAGCTTGCTGGGCGACTGCCGGCAGACGATAACCAGGGTAAGTTGTTGCGATATGCTTTGATTTCTTGCCCGAGAAAGGGCAAGCACCGCCCGCGCCGCGCTTGTCTGGACGCCCGAAATGGGTATTGAAAGAATGGGTACGATGCCCAACAGCGGATCTTGCTCATTTTGAACAAGATCCGCTGTCCGCGCCGCCGCGGCCTGTGTCCATTCGAGACAGGAGGCCGCCCGCTCAACAGTGGCCGCTGTTGGTTTGGGACAACACTTGTTGTTGGGCATTGTACCCCTTCTTTCGGTACCCATTTCGGGCGTCCAAAGCTTGGGTATGCCCGAGGAAGTGGCCGGCCCACGACTGACACCGATACAGGCCGCTCGACTTTTGAGAGAGAGCGCCGACGTGGGCGCGGAAGCATCGGCCGACGCTGTTGTGCAGAGCCATTGTCTCCTGAGCGCAGGCCGAGGCGGGCGTCGGGCCGCCGGAACTCCACAGCAAAAAAGGGGCCCAAGGCGCCCCAAGAGGGCACCGAGGACGACCCAAAGACGGCCCCAAGGGAGCCTCAGATGGCCTCCAGACGGTCCAAGAGAGCCTCGAGACGGTTCCAGAGGGCCCTCCAAAGGGCCCCCGAGACGACCCCCAGGGGCAAACAACATTGATTCGTTTAAGTTTTTCGCTTGTTTGTTTGGTTTCTGCTCTCTCGGGCCAGGAACAGTCCAAGACAGCCCAAGGGGCTCCAAAAGATCATCCCAAGACGGCCCCAGAGGCCCCCGAAAGGGCCCGAACACAGTCCCAGAGGGCCCCGAGACTGCCCCCAGAGGGGCCCCGAACCGCCCACAAGAGCACCAAGACGGCCCACAAGAGCACCAAGACAGCCCAAGAGGGCCCCAAGACGGCCCCAAGAGAGCCCCCTAGAGGGCCCAAACAGGCTCCCAAGAGGGCCCAGTGAGACCCCCGAAAGAGCCCCCAGACGGCCAAAGGCCTCCAAGACGCCCCACGACGGCCCAAAAGGGCCCCAAGACGGCACACAGTTGCCCCAAAAGGCGTCCCCAAGGGCCCCAATTGGGCCCCCCAAAGACCCCGACGAGGCCCAAGAGACGCTCAAGAACACTATGGCTCCCATCAGCGAGCGGTGACGTAACAAGCTCTTGACACCAAAGCTCCCCAGAGCGCGGTGACGTAGAGAGCTCGTCACACCAAGGCTCCAAGAGCGAGCGGCAACGTAAAAGTCTGAACACCGGGGCTCCCAACGGAGAGCGGCGACGTAAGAAACTCTTCACGCCAAGGCTCCCCGGATCGAAGGGTGCCATGAGCCCTCTCGGGCAAGTTCCCGAGGCGCTCTTTCGGTTTCCGTGCCGGCCCATGAGACGTAAAGAGCGAGGTACGAGTGATGACGTTTTGGTGGGGCGAAGCCTTCTAGGGAGGGGTCCAGGGGAGGGACGAGGGCCGAACCTTCGGGCGTTAATGGCCAGGGGGGCCGTTTCCTTGATATTTTTTCGAGTGAAGCGGCTCGCGGGCGCCTTCACAGCCCGTTTCTTTTTAATTTTTTCAGGTGAAACGGCTCAAGGCCCCCAAGACGGCCCAAGAGGACACCAAAACGACCAAAAGACGGCCCCAAGAGAGCTTCGGATGGCCTCCAGACGATCCAAGAGAGCCTCGAGACGGTTCCAGAGGGCCCTCCAGAGGGCCCTCAAGAGGGCCTCAGACGAATCCGAAAAATAACAATACGAAGACGAATGCGCTTAATACTACGAACCAGAAACATAATACTAAAGCCAATACTAATACGCACACGCATAATAACAACAAACGGTGCGTAATACTAGGTATGGTAAGAATACGAAGACGACGAGTAAGCATACTACGAAAATGATTCGACGAATAGTGCGAATACGAATATTACTGCGAATAGCAATAAGCATACTACCACCAATACGCATAATAAGAGTAATACTAGTGAGAACACTACTAAGATGACGGAGAAGACGACGCCGAATCATAATACTACACATCCTACGACGACGACACATTAGTAATACCGCCATACAATAACATCCATCACACGACGACAGATAATAGTACATATTGTACTCACAGGAACACTACTATTACTACTTCTACTACTATTATTACTACTACTACTATTACTACTACTACCCCGACGACTACTACTACTACTACTACGACTTACTACTACTACTGCTACTACGACTAATACTACCACTACTACTACTACTCTTATTACTACTACTACCACCACTACTACTGATACTACTGCTGCTGCTACTACTACTACTACGACTACTACGTCTACTACTGCTACTACCACCACTACTACTACTACGACTACTACTACTACTACTGCTACTACTACTGCTACTACGACTTCTAAGGCTACTACTACTACTACTGCTACTACTACTATTATGCTACTATTACTATTACTACTACTACAACTAGTACTACTACCACCACTACTCACTACTACTACTACTACTACTACGACTACGACTACGACTACTACTACTACTACTACTACTACTACTACTACTAAGACTACCACGATCACTATTACAACAACAACTACTACTACTACTACTACTACTCTTACTACTCATACTATTTCTAATACTATTACAACTACGACCATTACTGCTTTTACTACTACTACTAGTACTGCTGCTACTACTACTACTACTACTGCCACCACTTCTACTTCTACTACTAATACTCCTACTACGTCTACTAAAACCTATCCTACTACTACTACTACTACCACTACTACTACTACTACTACTACGTCTACTACTACTACTACGACTACTACTACTACTACTGCTACCA